GGGGGTTCTGGGGGACACCGGGGGGCTCTGTGGGGTTTGGGGGGCACTGGGGGTGTCTGTGGGGTTTTGGGGGGCTCTGGGGCCAGTGGGGTGACCCCTTTTCCCCCCCCCAGGGCGCTGTTCGACTACGACAAGGCCAAGGACTGCGGGTTCCTGAGCCAGGCCCTGAGCTTCCGCTTCGGGGACGTGCTCCACGTCCTGGACGCCTCCGACGAGGAGTGGTGGCAGGCGAGACACGTCCTGCCCCCCGGGCAGCCCCCCGACATCGGCTTCGTCCCCAGCAAGAGGCGGTGAGGGACTGGGGGGCACTGGGAGGGGACTGGGATGGAGTAGGATGCACTGGGGGGGAATAGGATGGAGTAGGATGCACTGGGAGTGCACTGGGAGGGCACTGGGATGGAGTGGGAGGGGACTGGGATGGACTGGGAGGCACTAGGAGGGCACTGGGATGCACTGGGATGGACTGGGAAGGGACTGGGATGGACTGGGAGGCACTGGGGACACTGGGAGGCACTGGGATGGAGTGGGAGGCACTGGGGACACTGGGAGGCGAGACACGTCCTGCCCCCCGGGCAGCCCCCCGACATCGGCTTCATCCCCAGCAAGAGGCGGTGCGGCACTGGCGGGCACTGGGAGGGGACTGGGAGGGACTGGGATGGAGTAGGATGCACTGGGAGGGGACTGGGAGGCACTGGGAGGGGACTGGGATGGAGTAGGATGCATGGGGGGGAATAGGATGGAGTAGGATGCACTGGAAGTGCACTGGGAGGGCACTGGGATGGAGTGGGAGGGGACTGGGATGGACTGGGATGCACGGGGAGGGGACTGGGATGGAGTAGGATGCACTGGGAAGGGACTGGGAGGCACTGGGAGAGGACTGGGAGGCACTGGGATGGAGTGGGAGGGGACTGGGATGGACTAGGATGCACTGGGAGGCACTGGGAAGGGACTGCAAGGGACTGAGAAGGGACTGGGATGGACTGGGAGGCACTGGGAGGGGACTGGGATGGAGTAGGATGCACTGGGAAGGAACTGCGAGGCACTGAGAAGGGACAGGGTTGGACTGGGAAGGGACTGGGGGGGACTGGGATGTACTGGGAGGCACTGGGAAGGGACTGGGAGGCACTAGGAGGGCACTGAGAAGGGACTGGGGGGGACTGGGATGCACTGGGAGGCACTGGGGACACTGGGGACACTGGGAGGCGAGACACGTCCTGCCCCCCGGGCAGCCCCCCGACATCGGCTTCGTCCCCAGCAAGAGGCGGTGAGGGACTGGGGGGCACTGGGAGGGACTGGGAGGGAACTGGGATGGAGTAGGATGCACTGGGAAGGGACTGCGAGGCACTGAGAAGGGACAGGGTTAGACTGGGAAGGGACTGGGAAGGGACTGGGGGGCACTGGGAAGCACGGGAAGGGACTGGGGGGCACTGGGAATGTGGGGGGGGGCACTGGGATGAAACTGGGGGAC